ACTTATATGGAAGTGTTACAATCACAAATGATTGCATAAAAGGAGTGTATGGTCACCAAATGGAGCTTTCGGTCCAAGTGGTATGTTCCTAGGAGCTTTCGGTCCTAATGGTATTCTTGGTCCAATTCGTTCTCGGTCCGAAGGGTTCTCGGTCCGAAGGGTTCTCGGTCCAAAAACCGAAAACTCAAGATCTTTGATGCATGTGGTGTTTTTCAAGGGCTTTCAAACATGCATAGGGGTTCTAAGTGTTATCCAAAGCCTTAAGTGCGTTTTAAGGTCTTAAAGGCACCTTTCTTTAGGGTTTTCGGTTTAAGGAGATACACTAAACCGAAAACTCCTTTTGTTCTTGGAAAAATGACGATTTCAAGGCCCTAAATCAAGTATCCTTACTAGATAACAAGTATAGGAGATAGATACTTACAATATGGAAGCAAAGAAGAGTGTTTTCGGGCCAAAACACTAGTGTGTGTTCTTGGTGTTCTTGGTGTTCTTGAAGAACACTTGAAGATCTAAGAAAAAGAGAAGATTTCATGGATGAAATCATGTATAACTACTAGATGAAGTGTTGTATCAACAAATCAAGAGAAGAAACACTTACATTTTTGGAAGATTTGGAAGAAGCTCTTATGATACTTGAGAGAGAATGTGGGTGTTCTTGAGTTTGGAAGTAAGAAGTGAGGAAGGAAGGAGTAAACTCATGCCTTAAGCATGAGTTCTCGGTCAAAAGGGGTTTTCGGCCCTACCTCTCATGTTTGGCCGTAACACCTTATTAAGGTGTTATTTGTTTTATTTGTTCCCCAAAATCCTAGAAAATACTTCCTTTCGTTTGATCTCTCGACGAATAAATATTTAAAAATACCCAAACAGACTTTAAACCGAGTTAAAAATTAGCAGAAATGAATTTGACTTTTAATTAAAGTTCTTGACTACAGAGTTTGTACAAATGAAAATTTCGGGTTGTCACATTTTATATAAACAAAATTTGAGAAATCAGACATCTTCCTACTTTTTCTTCTTATTATTTTTCTATATAGTTAAGATTGTGACACTTGTCATATTTATAAAATTAATAAATTTTTATTATATCAGTCATAATTTTTTTTTTTTTTTTCATTTCTACCATCTTCCTACACATTTAAGATTATGATACTTGTATATTTAATAAAATTAATAAATTAATATTATAGTTATCGTAATCTAATAATAGTAAATAGTAATGATGAATAGGAAGAAAAGTAAAAAAATATTTAATTTTTCATAAAATTTATTGTGACTTTTTTCATAACTTTAACTAAATTATTAAGAGTTTATTAGATTTTATGAAGATTTCCATAAATATATAAACCGACCAAAGTTTATTACCCTACGGTCCTTTAACGGCTTGACCCGATAATTTTCCCATGGAAGAACATGTCAGGGAAATGTTGTGATAATATATTTTTAATATTTTCTCGCTAACTTCCCCAAATTTACCTTGAAAAATCGAGAATAGTTCTCAAAAATCCAGGGAACAATACGAAGTGGTTTATGAGCTCGGATAGAAAATTGTAAAAATCGTTCGATAGCATCAACTTTCTGCGTTGAAATTTTAGGGTTTATGAGTGAATGCTGTTGAAGAGGCGTTTTTAGTTCGACTTGGTGCCGGAGACAAAGGAATTATGTCGTTCGGAGCTTCGACAATGTCGAACAACATGCGATTAGCATATAGTGGTGATGGATCATCTATGTATACCTCGATTAGCCGACCTACTTCGTCGCCCTCACCTTCCCCAACGCCTACTTACAACAACCCTAACGGATCCGGCGGTGGAGCTAGAACTTCCGGTGAAAATCATTCTATGGCTTTGGTGACGGCAGGGCTGGACGCAAGCGGTGGCGAAGTAGCGAAGCGGAAGAGAGGGAGGCCGAGGAAGTATGCCCCCGACCTCTCTGTAACACCGGTGGCGAGGTTACCGCCTGCTGAAGCGGCTGCTCAAGGCAGTGGTTTTTCGTCTCCGGCGTTGTCTTCAGGGAAGAAACCGAGGGGCAGACCACCTGGTTCGTTGAATAAGCAACCTGCTGCTGCTTCAGGTACACTATATACCCCCATTTCATTAATTTATTCATCGTTTTTAACCCCCATTTCACTTTTTATATACTTTTCAGCCTTTTCCATCATCTATAATTGATTAATCAATTCAGTTAGCTGAATATAATAAGATTAGCATTCTATCTTGGGATTGCCATTTGCCAGTTTCTCTTTACTCAATTCGTTATATCATAATCCATAAAAACATAAAAAATATGAAATTTCTTAAGATTTTTTCCACATTTCATTCAAACATAAGCTTTTAGATTAGCTTACATGGTAAAAACCATTTTCAGGTTCACCAGGAGTGGGGTTCATGCCGCATATCCTTGATGTTAAAGCTGGAGAGGTGCAATCATGATTCTTTTTACGTTTCTGAAAAATTTTTGATTTACCAAAATTCATAATTTCTTATATAAATGCAGGATGTGTTGGGAAAATTGATGTGGTTTTCTCAAAACAGCACTCGAGCTGTGTGCATTCTATCAGCTAATGGTGCCATATCTAATGTTACACTTCAGCAGTCTGCAACATCTGGTGGAACTGTCACATACGAGGTTTTTTCTTCAAAATTCATTATTTATTTTCTTTGATGTATAAAAAATATTTATTTATTTATAAAAATACAGGGACGATTTGAGATCTTATCTCTTTGTGGTTCATTTATGGTTTGTGAGAGTGATGGGCAACGAAGCAGGACTGGTGGTTTAAGTGTGTCGCTTTCAGGGCCAGATGGCCGTGTTTTAGGTGGTAATGTGGCTGGCCTTCTCACTGCTGCATCACCTGTTCAGGTTTTTTTTCTTTCCATAAATACCCTTGGATGGAATGGAATGGATGATTCCATTCCATTCCTCATTCCTGATTCCTGATTTTTTTCTTGGTCAATTTTTACAGATGATTGTTGGTAGCTTTGTTCCTGCAACTCAGAAACAAAGAAAAACAGAGGCAGAAGTAGTCAACACTCCGGTCAATGTAGGGACCACAAGTGGATCTTCAGGTGGGGGGATTGGGAGTCCGCTAGTCCACAGTAACAACAGTAATCCACAAGGTATGGCTAATATGCCTTGGAGGTAACTAAATCCCATTTGTTTGTGTTGTAAGCAACATAACATAACTCTCTATTAGGAAGGAACCTTTTTTTTTTTTTTTTCTAAGTTAATGTGTAAGGGTAGTTGCATGCCAACAAATGTGATGATGGGTTAATTATGAGTTGTTGCTTTATTGAAAATGTTAATAATATTGTGCGTATTTTTAGAATTTTTTATATGACATCTGGTCTTCGTATTGCTTTTATGTGGCTAATTTGGAGATTTATGAATCAAATGCTTTTTGGGTCGGTAATATCGCAAAAAAAAAAAAAAAAAGTTATCTAACATAACTTGTTACGGTTTGGTATTTTTGGATTTTGAATGGATTGAGAGAGTCAAAATTAGATTGGTTAGCTTGACTAACAGATTTATCTTTAGTTTTAAATATGGGTTGAATTGTTGTAAATGTTTCCTAACATTTTTTTAAAATAAAACTTGTTACCTTTCTTTTGGAAGTAACTAAGGTATATATAGAATATAAATAGGTAGGTTCTTTTTCTTTGTAGATCGCTTTTCAACTATTATTTTTTTTCTCCCTGGAACGTGAGCATTCCACCGATAATAAACGTCAAATTATCCATTTAACATTTTGTTTACACTTTGCTTTACTTGCTACTTTGTCTCACCAAAATGGTTCGAGTTATACTATTTAGTTGAGGACTAAGTTTCTAAGAGTCACACATCCAGTTTGTAAAAACATTCTTATGACATTATTCTTTGTAAGTACCTTGTAAAATAAGGGAAAATACCGCCAATAGACAAAAAATCGGGGACAATTTCAAAATATAGTCATAAAAATTGACTTTGCCAGGTATAGACATGCATTCTGCGGAAGCATGAAACCTCCTCCGCGTAGAGGGTTAATTTCGTAATTTCAACCCATCCTTTTTGAGAAAAACGACGCCTCCTCTTTTGGTCCCCCGGTTGTCTTCGTCAGTCCGCATCGGTGTTGATCGACTTCTTTTTCCGGCGACGACTTCAAATCCGGCGAAATACGCCCTCAAACGACGACCTATTCCGGCTTGGAGTTCATTGTTTCGTGCTTCTTCTTCGTAGGTTATGTTATCATAACACCGGAGAATTTTGTGGCTGGTGCCTCAAAGCCCTAAATCCCTCTCCTCTCTCTTATCTCTGCCAAAATCAAGTGGATTTCAAGGTGGTGTGTTAGAAGACGCCTTTCTGCTTTTATTCCGTGAGTTCCATTTTTCCTTCAATTCTTTCACTCAAAATTGGGATTGAATTGAGAATTCGTCTATTGATTTTCCTTTTCTCTCTTATGGATGATAATGTAATGTTATCATCTTTGATTAATTAGGGCAATGATCTTGCTTGCATCAAGAAGCGACATTGTTTCAAGGTCAATGACAATGGAAATTCAAGAAGGTGATCATGGTGTAGGTATGTTTCATGAACAGCCTGAACTTAATTGCTTGTATACGGTGTCGTTTTCTGCTAATATCACCTTAATTTTGACATAGCATGCCAGTTTCAGTTGGCAAACTAATCATTCTCACCTCTCTTTTGACTTTTGATGTGAAAATATTAAAACTTATATAGAAAGTCCTAATTTGTTACACATAGGCTAGTAGGTTAAAGTTTCAAAATTCTATTAGTTCCATGTGTAATATCATTGATATCTATATATTTTTGTATTTTCTTTTTGTCCATGTGATCATCACCAACAAGATTCATGTGATTCTAGTTCAAAACTCCTTGTCTTAAATTAATTCATACTCATGTGATTTTTTTCTTTTTTATGGTTGTGATACTTTAAGAAATCACGAGAATTAATAATAAAATATTTTGATTTATCCATACACGTATGTATCCTTTAAAAACATGAGCTCTGTAGCATTAAGACATGAATAAACAATATACAGAACACACACATACACACCCACACAAACATCCAAGAAGGACATGGATTCATCTGCCAAATCAGTAGACGAAGTGGTGGAAGAAATAATGAGAATTCATAAATCTCTTCCTCCAAGACCTGGAATCGATGACATTGAAGCTGCAATGATTCTAATCAGAAACGCAGACAATGAAGAACAATCAAGGATCGAAGCAATTTCCAGACAAAAGAAACGAAAATACATCCCTGAAGAACTCTTCAACATCCTGTTGGAGATGCAGAAACAATTAGTCCAATTCCAAACCAAAGAACAAAAGAGAGAAGCTGTTAAATTACTAGACCTCGAAAACTGCCACCAACTGTTCGATGAAATGATTCAAAGAGCCTCCAAATGTTGTTCTCCTTCTCCATCTAATAACACCCCTTCAAGTACTTCTTCTTCACCTTCAACAAATCCAACTTCCATCTCTACTTCAAGCTTCGATCACAGCACTCCATCTTCCACTTCTAGCTTATCTTTTGATAAAGATCATGTCAAAAGCTCCCATTTGATCATTAAAGATGATAGTTATGTGAATAAATCCAAGTTTTATAACAATGGAGGGATTGTATCAAGTAAATTTTCCAAACCCCAAATTTTCGATTCAACTTTAAAACCTTCCATTACTTCTGGTGAGTTTAAACTTCAAAAGTTCAAATCTAGTTACGTTTTTTTTACATTATCCATGGATTTGCTTTAATTAATATGTAATTTTGTAGGACAAGATGGTGAAAAATTGAGTCTTATAAAGCTTGCTAGTTTGATTGAAGTATCATCAAAGAAAGGAATTAAAGATCTTGATCTTCATAACAAACTCATGGAACAAATCGAATGGCTTCCCGATTCAATTGGGAAATTATCCAATTTAGTCACATTCAATCTCTCAGAAAATCGTCTTCTTTCTCTCCCATCTTCAATCGGAACCCTTTCATCATTAACAAAACTCAACTTACATTCAAACAAAATCATTGAACTCCCAGAATCCATAGGGAATCTCATCAACTTAATTTTTCTAGATCTTCATGGAAACAACTTAACATCTCTCCCTCCAACTTTTGGTAGATTAATCCATCTTCAAGAACTCGATTTAAGTTCAAACAACTTCTCATTTCTTCCTGATCAAATCGGTTCTCTTTCAAGTTTACAAACATTAAACATTGAAACAAATGAAATCGAAGAAATCCCACATGCAATCGGTCAATGTTCATCTCTCAAACAACTTCTTGCGGATTACAACAAGATTAAAGCTTTACCAGAAGCAGTAGGAAGAATCGAGTCATTGGAAAAACTATCTGTTCGATATAATAACATTAGTAGGTTGCCAACAACAATGTCATCGTTGAAAAGTATAAAACAACTTGATGTAAGTTTCAATGAACTTGATTCGGTTCCTGAAAGCTTATGTTTTGCTACAACTCTTTTGAAGATCAACATTAGCAACAACTTTGCTGATTTGACATCACTTCCAAGATCAATTGGAAACCTTGAGAATCTTGAAGAGTTGGATATGAGTAATAATCAAATACGAGTAATTCCGGATTCGTTTAGGATGTTATTGAAGTTACGGGTGTTGAATGTTGAAGGAAATCCATTGGAATTACCACCACGGAACGTACTTGACAAAGGCGCTCAGGTGAATCATTTTTTTCGTAGCAGTGTGGGCCAGCTTAGGGTTTCAGACTTTCGGTGCTAGTATTTGCAGTGTGAGAGTTTTATTTGGCGTTGAAACTCTCACACTACAAATATTGACTTCGAAAATCTGAAACCCTAAGCTGGCCAAATGTGGATTTGGCCAGCTTAGGGTTTCAGCTGCAAATATTGGCACCGAAAGTCTGAAATCCTAAGCTATAACCTAATTAACCTCTTGGCCAATGTGGGCCAACTTAGGGGTTCATGTGCCAATATTTGTAGTGTGGGAGTTCTACTACTATGGGAGTTTCAAATCCAATGTGGATTGTGCTTCTTATAGACATCGATTGTTGTGTACCTTATTCGCCTCTTGGGCAGTGTAAACCAGTTTAGGGGTTGGTGAAAAAATAACTTTTTATCTGATGACTAATTTTTATACTATCTTCTTTTTAGGCGGTGGTTCGGTATATGAGTGAAGTCTATGAAAAGAAGGATTTAAAGGTGCAACCTGTTAAACACAAGAAATCTTGGACACGGTTTTTCTTGTTTTCGAGTTCTAACAAAAGAAAGCACGACTATGTGGCTTCATAGTTTGTATCAATCTTAGTCCTTAATTTATTTAGTGTAAGTTCCAATTAATGTATGTAAATAGGTTCATATTGTACAAAAGGTTCATATATTTTTTAATATGTATTTTAAATACATATTAAAAAATGTTAATATCTAATTTATCATCATGTTGAGGTTTTTGACCAACTTGTATGTATGTATTTTCGAACTTTTGTGTCACTGAATGTTTATAACATTGGTAGAAAGCTTGAAGACACCTTCATGTTATTATATCTTATACGCTTTGAGTGTGTGATTTTAATAAAAATAAAACTGTTGTTATGTCTTGACACTTTGGATGCACTTGAGATAAAAATGTGCATGAGATATTCTTGTTGTTTTGTATACATAAAATGCTATATATAGAAATGTTATTTATGAACAAATGTTTTATGATTTATTAGGATGCCTATGAATGTCATCCTAATAATGAAGGCAAGAGTATAGATAAAAATATGTTGTGATATACAGAAAAGATATAAAAAAGGAAAAAAATATATGTATTATCAAATGGCAAATTTAGGAGGTGTTTGGGAGTGTTTTTTGAATTTTAAAAGTATTTTTAGATAAAAATGTTTATTGGCTTGTAGTGGTGGTAAAATGAGTTTTTAAAAAAATGTTTGGATTAACTTTTATGGTGAAAAAACCAATAAATCAATAAGTTAAAAAGTGTTTGATTTAAAAACTCATTTATGAAAAAATGCTTTTTGAAGCTAATAATAAATCATAACAAAAAATATTAGCTTTTCAAAAAGCCAATAAACCAATAAACTGTTTTGAAAAGCAATTCCAAACACCCCATAAGCGTAACAAAATAATTAAGTTTAACAAAAGGGCAAATGTAAGAAAAACTCAATTTACTATAGTATCGAAAAGAACAATATATTAATTTTATTTCTATTAAAATCCTTCCATAATTTCAAATAATATGTATAAACCCCTATAGGAAACATGAAGACCTTATTTATTTTACTATTTAAATCTTCACATTATTTCAATATATACGTTTTGCATGTCTTCTATAAAAATCATTCACATAACAATCATTCATTGTTGTGTGCTCTTTTCGACTTTGGAGTAGTAAGTTCATGTGAAACACAATCCTAAAATTTTGTCATGATCTAAACCATTTCAAATATTCGACGACCTAATATGTTTTAAAAGTATAATATGTTTTAAAAGTATAATGATGATACATATATAAATAAGGTTATCAGTTATATTCACCACTAACCATTATAGCGGTGGGTTGTCACATCATCATCATCACACTCCTTATCACTAACCATGAGATACCTACAACTAAATACATAACTCCACCTCATTTTTTTTAATTAAATTTAATTCAAAAATACATTAAAAACATATAATTTTTTTAATACTAGTTTTTCATTAAATATAAATACCACATTACATTAAAAAATTTACATTAATAAAAATAAAAATAAAAATAAACACCTAAAAATACCAAACATACATAAAAAAACTAACTCTTACTACTATGTCTCGCTCGAACCGACTCTTTTATGGCGGAAAAAATCTCCAAATTAAAAAAAACCGCCTCTTGGAATGACGTTTGTGCTTCCATCATTTTTTGCTCCACCCGACTCAACATCTCCACCTTGGTTTGTTGAATATGGACATATCGATCAAATTTCTCTCCAAAATGATCGATAACATTAGAACCGAAGCCGACAAACCCGCTTTTTTGTTTTATTTCTTCCAGCGGGCCGACGAAGAGGTTGCTTGTCTTCAAGATCAAGCGGATCATCGTTGATGTTGATGTGTGTTCGCCCGTCTGATTGTTGGGAAGTTGTATCCAGATTTCTTGAACGCTTTGAACAAGAAGAGGTTTGTGAAGTTCCTTCCGTTTGCTCTTTCCATTTTGGAGCGTCTTTCAATTTTAGCCACAGTTTCACATACGAAAAAGCTTTGCGGGTTGGCGTTGTTTTTTCAAATTAATCCAAGGTCGCCTTGAAGACATCAAAATTGTTTGACTCGCTTTTGCGTATGTTTTAGAGGTTGTTGTAAATTCCTCCAAATTCGGTGCATATTAGTCTAATATCATGCCACTTCGAGCTAATTTAATCGGGATTTCGACTTTCACTTCCCGTTAACACATAAAATACGCTTCGAACTTTCTCCCAAAAACAATTGAAGGTTTCATTATCTCCTTCAATTGGGTCTTGGGAAGCCGAAACCCACGCCTCCACTAGCTTTTTCTTTTTCCTCTTTCGTCCATGGCACCCTTTCTTGGTCGGTAGTGGGTCGTGCCAGTTTTTTTTCCCTTTATTCTTTTTTGGTTGAGGTGGTGGTGGTGAATGTTGTGTTTCCGAAACAAAATCTGGCGAATAAGGGGGTTGTGAAATTGGTGGTTGTGACTTTGTGGTTGGAATTGTTGTTGGAGTTGTTGGAATTGTTGTTGCTGGAAAGTCGAGAAATGTTGATATTGTTGTTGGAAAAGTTGTGTTTGTTTGATAGAGGAACCGATTAGAAGCAAATTTACAAAACCACCTTGAGGTGATTTCATGGTCAGAAATTGGTGAGGGGTTGTATCTAATGCAACAGAGTTATCAGGTTTGTGATTTCTAAAGTTTGGGGGGAAAGGGGGGGTGGGTATTTTGGTTGGAATCCATTTTTTTGGTTGTAAAAAGATTGTGTGTATATTGTGTAATATAGAGAAAGAAAAGAATGGTGTAAGAAATATGGATGTATAATGTGGTTTTTATAGGTAAAATTTGTGTTTAAAAAAATTGTTTTTTTTTTGAAAACTAGCCGTTCAACGGCTACATGACCGGTCAAATATGAAACAAAATCCTACTGTTGTATCTCATCCTCCCCACCAGGTACACCATGACAACGATGCACCACGAATGGTCAGACCAGTGTGCACGGCCTTTGTCCGTGGCCAGCTAGACCACAAAGTGGTTCGTCGATGGTCTAATATGGATTTGGAAACTATCCCCATAAATAAAAATATAAAACCATACATCTAAAATGTCTCTTCCAAATAAGAAACTAGTCTAGTTATCAGTTTTTGGACATGAGATTTCAACCATAATAATAAGAAAGGTAGCCAACTAAGCTTTTACAATTAAATATTTTTATCGTTTTTTATTTTTATAACCACATACCAATTAAAATAACAATAATATCAAGTATGGCATAATTAAGAGTTAAAAAACTAATAAGTGAAAGATTTTTATATAACATTTGAAATAAATCGAGATAGATGTTTAAATGTTATAACCTTCTTTGAAGAATCTTTTAAATTGGAGATTTATAAAATATACTTTTAGTAAATAAAGTTAATAAAACTTGATTTAAAAAAATAATGTTTCTTATAAGGTTCACATTGTGGATATAATTCTCTCAATGATCGAGGCATAAACATAAACATAACCTTGCGGTTCAAGTAGATTTTTGGCTTGGTCATCAAGTTCCTGAATCAAAGTCAACAGCGGTGTACCCAAAACAAAAATCTTCTAAAATTTATATATCACCCAAAAAATCCCTTTGATTCATACTTTTCATTTTTCAAAGCCCTAAATTTGATTCACCCAACTCCTGCTTTACTTTCTGACTTTCTGTATCTGAATTAATCGCACTCGCTCAAGGTTCTTCCCTCTTCGTCGTATTCACAGGTCTACTCTCTATTCCCACTGCAATCTTAACTTCTTTCCATTCTTCTCGAAGCTTTTATTTCCTAGATACGCGCTATTGGATTGAGATCCACCTTTTAACTTATAAATTGTCGAATACTGAAGCTTAGAAATCTAATTATAGAATCAACGAAACGATCAAGATCAGAAATTGATGATATCGATTACAGATTCTGTATTTTCTACTAAATTCGGGTTTTCTATTTTCATTTTCAAATAGAAATATGCGTTAATAGATAATTTACCTCAATAGGATAGAAAAAATGATCTTGTTTTCAAGGAAGCTGTTTGTGTTTAAATTGAAGGAAATGAGAACTAGAGAATGTGAAGTTTGATCACTTTATAATCATTTAAGTTGTGGGCTAGCAATAAATTTAATCATTTCCTAAGTTGATTAACTTCACTTGATTTGTGAAGTCGGATAACGATTTCCTAATACATAAATACTCGGATTTTATAATTTTGTGACAGGATACTTGCTTCTGAAGCCATTTTCCATACATCTCCTTCTCATTTACCATGGCCACAAGTAAGCTAACTTGTTATATGCAATTTTTGATTGAATGGAAAACGGATGTTGTTGATGGAATGTGATTCCTTCTTTTTCTCATTCCACAATATATTTACATATAGTATATAAAATTTCATATGAAAATTCATTCCATTCCTACATAAAACCAAACATGATTATTGAATGTAATGAATCATTCCATTACCTTGCTTATTCCATTACCCTACCCATTCCATTCCTTTGTCATTCCATTCCATTCCATCCAACCAAACATATGCTTAATTACATCTGTATGTATGCATTCTTTCAGGGCTAAGGTTCGAAAACTCATGTGAAATTGGGGTATTCACAAAGCTGACAAATGCATACTGCTTGGTAGCAAATGAAGGCTCTGAAAGTTTCTACAGGTTTCTAATCTGTTCTTGTAATTGCTATTATAATTTGTTACTTATAAACAAAATTTACAAGAATTTGGAATTCGGATTTGCAGCATCTTTGAGTCTGAATTAGCTGATGTCATTCCTGTTGTTAAAACATCCATTGGTGGCACAAGAATAGTTGGAAGGCTTTGCATAGGTAAAATAAATACCTTAAAAAACATTTTGCAATCTGTAATTCTGTATTATAAACTCAATATTGACTTTGACCATTGATGTCAAACATTCTTTTGTAGGAAATAAGAAAGGCCTTCTCTTGCCTCATACTACTACTGATGAAGGTAAACATTATAAATTATAAATCACTGTTTATATTTATGATCTCACTTATATATATATACATGGTTTGATACTTTTAAAGAGCTTCAACACTTGAGGAACAGCCTACCTGATGCAGTTGTTGTTCAACGGATTAATGAGAAATTATCTGCTCTTGGTAATTGCATGGCGTGTAATGACCATGTTGCCCTTACCCATACTGATCTTGACAAGGTACCTTGTTTTCTAAGCCCTCATTTATCATGGAAAAATGATTTGAGTCTTTGACTTATGGATTTTGATTTTTGATCTTTGACCTCCTTATTATTAGGAAACAGAGGATATGATAGCGGATGTTCTTGGTGTGGAAGTGTTTAGGCAGACAATTGCAGGAAATGTACTTGTGGGGAGTTATTGTGTGTTTTCAAATAGAGGTGGTATTGTGCACCCTTACACATCTGTTGAAGATTTGGATGAGCTGTCAACACTCCTACAGGTCCCTTTGGTTGCAGGGACGGTTAACCGTGGTAGTGAAGTGATAGCCGGTGGGTTAACCGTTAATGACTGGACCGCGTTTTGTGGTTCAGACACCACTGCAACCGAATTGTCGGTGATTGAGAATGTCTTTAAGTTGAGGGAAGCTCGACCTCAGGCTATTGCTAATGAGATGAAGAAATCCTTGATTGATACGTATGTTTGAATTGGTTCAAATGCTTGTTAATGTTATGTTATGTTATGTTATGTTACTTTTTTTTTTTTGTGCTTAAAATGATGTTGAAAGTTTCATGTTGTCTTATCTTTTTCTTGTATTTGGTAATCTCATAAACCCTAAACTGGAATCTTGAATGAAATCTGAAATTCATCAAATACTGTTAGGACTGGTGTTGAATTCATGAATCGTTATGAGTAATTGGTTCAAGAAAAACACTAGGAATCAATAATTGCGTTCATGTATTTAGAATGTTCACTGGTTTGACTTTGTGCTTGGTCAAACTTATGACATAAAATGAGATTGAGAAGGAGAATAAGAGTTGGAATGCTAGAGGCGATTTCCTACTTAACCGAAACTTAAACTAGAATTGAAATAGAGATTATTCGTTATGAAAGTTGAAAAGTGAATGTATGAAAGATTCATGAATTAACATTTTAGAACTTAAAGCAATCACATTTAGGCAAGTTGGAATGCCTAAATGAGAAAAATATAAAAAAGGAGTCAGAAACAAAAATGGATTAAATTGTCCCATGAAGCTTTATGCATGATTTGAGCACTCTTGGTATATCATTTAACTATATGACATTGTGTTAAACACATGGATGCATGTAATTGGAGTAAATTGTCAAAATGGGACAAAAAGGGTAAAATTGGTTATTTAGTTTTATGGAGCATAAATAACTTCCCATGTTTCTAGTCTAATGCATTGTATGCTAGATAAAGCTAGTATGAAAAACGGTTAACCAAATTCGCGTAGTCGGTCATGAATGGTAGTAGCTGCCCGATTCATGATTTCTTGTTTCTGAGAGCCATGAAGGCTTTCGAACTCTGCTGATTCTTGAAGGATTGAAGCTTTCAACAAGTTGAAGTCTGAAGTAAGGATTTTGCAAAGATATAAGATCCTTAGCTTAGCTAGTTGTTTCTTTTGTGCAACAGATTCTGGTTTGAAGCCAGCTTTAAAAGCCTTTACATTGCCACCCATGAATGTTTCCATGTGGCGCATAGTCAAGACACCACAGTCAGTGCTATTGTTAATTGTTTCCCATGGAAGTTGAAGTATTTGTATGGGCACATTTGCAAATGTTTCATAAAAGTGATGTTGCACTGAACGCATGTAATCAGTCATGTATGAATGCTGAAAAAAGAAAAAAGGGATTGATTTTTAAAGGTTGATGTTTATATATTAATAGAAGTATGAGGTTTGTGAATACCCTACCACGAGATCGGGCAAACTACCATATGCAACTTGGTGTGTATCATCTTGTCTGATGTTGTCAATAATGGTGAAGGATGGTTGCTGAAGGTCAATTACAAATAAGAAAATATGGAAATCACGGACAACCGGAAGGAATAACTGATAAGAAAATTGGTGTTGATGGATTAGAACATATAATGCTTTGTAGATGTGTAGAGTGAATCGATATTGCAGTGAAGAAATTAGAAGGTGATTAGAACATGTGTGGTTATGAATATAGTGTACTAAAGTGTATGTGGTTGATGATAGTGTAATGAATTTAGAATAAGTAAGAAAAAGTTGAGACATACCAAACGAACATCACGTAGGGTCAAGCCTTCAGCATCAATGCAATCACTTAGATTGGAGAAAAACAAGAATTTGCGAGCTTCAGCTGTCAACGCAGTGTTTTCCAGATACAAGCTCTATTGTGATTAAAATATAAAATAAGGCAAATTGGTGTATGATTGTGTATAGGTGGAATACTAGCATATGAAAAATAGTTTTTTAACGTACTTAATGAATAATACAGATATGTTGGAGATGTTAATGATTAAACATGAAGTTGAGTTAATTTTAATATTACCGTCACAGTAATGGGTGCAAACAATCTTCAAGGTGATAAGTCGTCATGTAGATCCTCGTCCAAGTTGAGTAGATGACTCCAACAATCCAACACGTGACCAAACAATTCACAGTCAGTAAAAAAGCTTTCCATGTGAAAGCGCTGTGCAGATACACCAGCACATGTCCTAAATACTTCGTCACTGTAATATATAATGTTGATACTAATAGTATGTAACAATGATAAAAAATGAAAAAATATATATAGAGTGAAAAAAGGGTGTTCATACCTTGGCGCCCCTTGAGTTGAGAACACCCATTCAGAAAGACTTTTATCTGACTGTGAGAGCCGCGTAGTTATATCAAGAGCCCCGACTATGTAAGGGGATTTGAGATAAGTGGGCTTGGGTGGATGCCTTTTTCCTCTTGGATTCACTTTATCTGGTCGATTGTTAGGAGTCGTCAATGGACGTGGAATTTTAAGTTGGTGTGATGAGCTGGGAAAAGAAGTATTTTTTGAAGAATTGTGCAACATTTCAGCACCCAAACTCTAGAACTAGAGGACAATTGAGGAGAGAGAGGAAGAGAGGAAAATTTCGTTCCCAAGGCTAATAGGAAGTGAATGAACGAAATTAAGGTCATAAGGGGTCCTATTTATAGTTTAGGTAACTTAGGGATCAAGCAAGATTTGGATGAATTTAATCTCAATCCAAATCCTTTCCTTATATGCATCCAAGAGGCTTATGGAAACCCCACGGAAGCTCCCAAAACCGTCCACCCCTTGGATGGTTCTAGAATTGTTTCTTTTGTTCAACTATTGAACAATTACAATTCACCTCTTGCACCTTTAATTAATTCCAATTAATCCCAAAATTAATTCCAGATTAATTCTGATTAATAATTAGTTAATTCAAATTTGATTTCTTATTAATATATTAACCTCATAAATTAACAAATCAATTGTTTAACTATTGATCTCATATTAATTTATTAACCACATAATAAATTAACAAATCAACTATCTATTTGCAATTAATATACTAATCATATAATATATTAACAAATCATTTCTTCATAATTTCCAATAAGTTTATTAATCATATAATAATCTAATAAATCACACTCTCTCTATAAATATCATTTTAATTAAGTTCCAGTTATGAGGACAACCCCAAAAGGACTTTGTTTCTAATTACAAGAATATACTAATTTAGTTACTAACTTTGACACCTTAATTCAACAGTCTCCCACTTGGATAAGTCTGTAACTACAATTGCAAAAATATAGACCTTGAACTAAACAACAAAGAGTGCTTTCCAAAGCCACTGCCGAACTCTGATTCAAATCAAATGTTGGCCCTTAATGATCAACCTCATGTTCACGTATTTTGTTTCCCGATTTCCCGATTTGTGATCAATTTAGACTACAAAATCGAACACATCAATTTAGTCCGGACCAGGTGCCTGGTTTTCATAGATCAACTCAAATCACCGAGGGGCCCACAAATATCGATTTTCCTTATTCATGCAAAAGGAACGAATTACATTGACTATATAATCATATGTTAAATGTGACTCGAGCGTTTGGATCATGTTCATGGAGCATTTGGATCATGTTTATGGAGCATTTAGAGCACTTGGAACTCAATGGAGCACTTGGGGTTCATGGAGCATGTGACAAAGGAACGAATCCTCTGAGAAAGGAATGGATCGTCTGATAAAGGAACAGATCATACTGAAGGGGTTTGGAGCATCTGGAAGAGGTTTGGAGCACTTGGAAGTGATATGGAGCAACAAGGGAACCTTGTTACGCCATATGTTGAAGGGATAAGCCAAGAAGGATGCTGTTGCGCCAAGGGCATTCCTTCTTGCGCCATTATGCTCCCTCTTGTGCCATGAGGGGTTCCTCTTGCGCCATGAGGATCCCTCTTGCGCCATGGGGGTACTCCTGTTGAGCCATAGAGTATGCTCTTGCGCTATGCATGACCTTGTTGTGCCATGTATGTTCCTGTTGCGCCAAGGTGGTGTTGTTGATCCAATCTTGATGTTCTTGTGCCACACTTGAAGCCTGTTGCGCCATCTATACACTTGTTGCGCCATCATGGTTCAAGTTGGACCATATTGGTCCTTGATGAGCCAAGTGTGCTATGAAGTCCTCTATGATGCTCAAGATTGTTTAAGGATGATCAGAAGTTGGTATTGCTCAAGGATTACACCATGTTTTGCCACCATGATGGATGTTGGGCCATTAGTGTTCATGATGCGCCACTTGTACATCATGATGCTCCACTATGGCACAAGGTGCTCCATCATGTGTGTTGCTGATGCTCATGGGTTGTATGACATGGAAGAATGTTCTAGAATATGCTGCATGACAGAATATGATTTGTTGTCACCATTCATGGACCTATGGGCCAATGGGCTTGGCCCATTAGGGTTTTAGGTTTGATCCCTCAAGTATAAATAAGAATGCATGCAGATTCATTTTAAGTGTCTTGTGTCTTGTATCTTGAATCCCGAGTGAGTAGCACGAATCTTTGGTGAATTGTACTTGTAACATCTGTTTGAGAACACTGAAATAAAGAATACTCCCCTCCTACCCGTGGACGTAGGTCACCTTGACCGAGCCACATAAATACTGTGTCTTTGTGTGCTTATAGTTTTGCTTGTTATCCGCATTACTTCCTAACAAGGGTTATCAGAACTTGGCAAGTGGCATCAGATTTATTCTGAGTCTTGACAAGTATCGTCTGTTTTCCCTAACATCATACAATTTACATATCAAATCACACATGGAATAACCCTTTATAACATCTAGTTACGAGATGCGTTTCAGCAAACCAATACACAACTGATCTGTAAACTATGAACCATATATCTCTGCTTTAAGAATAGAAGATATTATCATCTTAGAATTATTTGTGATTAAAATCCATGAAGAAATCTCTAAGCATGGGTTTATCCAATACTTAAAATCTCTATTTTCAAAGTACTCGTGAATATTGTAGCAATTCCAATTGCAATGTCTTAACCTCAATCGACAATCTACATAAAATTCATGATAATCTTAATTCATTACTTACTTCCAAAAGTATGAACGACTGTGTAATTTTGAATAATATTAAAATTACTCAGGGAAGTAAACATGTGAAGTGAAACACAATAATAAATTAATTAAATGTATCATCATACCTTTGATTATAAATAAATCCATATTATTTAATCACCATAAAATTACGAATCTATTCATTGTATAATGTTTCGAGTAATCAACTAACTGTTGGATTAGGTGTCTAAGCCCATAACTATAATTGGTATGTACTTGAATTGATAGCAGCACAATCATTTTGGGTTGCCCTCAAACCTAGCAACTGGATAAGGAAATTATGAAAGGAGAGATATTGATTTATTATAAGATTAATAAATTAATATAAATGATTTATTAATATGTTAAAATGTTAATATATTAATTAGAAATCATAATATTTAATTAATAGTTAGCTAGAAATTAATTAGAATTAATTTTGGGGTTAATTGTGTTAATTATAAAATGCAAGGACTAGTTTGCAATTATCTAATAGTTGAGTGGAAGGTTCCAGAACCTCCTTGGAAGGGGGTGGATGAAATCTATAGGGGAAACCCTAATGATTTCGTCCAAGGGGCTTGGATAAGGCCTTTGGATAAGCTTAGGCACCAAGCAAAGGAACATTAGGGTTTTCCCCAAAACCCTAGATCCCTCAGCTATATAAGGAGCCTCCTGGCTCCCAAAATTGGCAATCCTTCTCTTGAAGAAACCCTAGGCCGATTTTTGCATACCCTAGCCTCTCTCCTCACAAGTTTCCTTCTTGCTAGCTCTTGGGTGTGATTCCATTAGAGGCATTACAATTGTGGTGCTAGGCTTCCAAGAAGATCAAGCTCAAAGGATTACCAATTGTTTGCTATAACAATTGAAAGGTATGTAACTCTAAAACCCTAGTTGGTTAATTTCAAGAATAGCCTCTCTCATTAGGGTTCTTGTTTTGCAATTCAAAGTTATATGTTCAATAGTTAAAACATAGATCCAAAGTAGGTTGCATGTGAACTTAGGAATTGTTTTCTAGTTTATTTATTTTACCCAAAACCCATCAGTGGTATCAGAGTGATTGGTTTTGTTTTAAATTGAATAGCTATAATAGTTGAATTTCAAATTAGGGTTTATAGCTATTAAACCCTAAAAGGCCATGTTTTCGTTTTTAGGGTTTTTGGCTTGAAGGGTTTTATCTTATTTTGGATAATTATTGCCTTATTGGATAATTATTGCCTAATTGGATAATTGAGAAAAATAAGGAAATTATCCTTTACCCTAATTTTTGAAATCTAGAGGGATAAGGATTATGATTAAATTAATTGTTTAATTTGATTGGATAATCCTTACAAGATTTAATAAATTAATTAAAACTTAATTAATAGATAATTATTAAATATAGTTATTTGGTTTATTTTAAATTTAAATTAATAGTTTAGTTTTTCGAAATTTATATAAACCTTAAAGTTTTAAAAAGTTTAAAACACACCTTATATATGTATTATAATTAAAAGTTAAATATTATATATGTATAAGAATATGGTCAGTCAAATCGCTAGTATGCCTCATTTACGAAGCTAGTCTATAAGGGGGGTATAAGGAAACTGCCTATAAAATGGTAGTTAAATAGGTGTCCACTCTCACCCACCGCTTCCTTGATTAGTGGAGGGTCGTTAGCAGAACATGTTTGATAGGACAACTACATATCATTAAAAGTATAATGTTATTAAAGAAAGTACTAGAAAATTATTTTACAAAAATCCCAACTCTAGTTACTTTAGGAAAAATGTGAAAAGTATGCTAATCCATGAAATTACACATTATGCTTTATTGGTCGTTAGTGGAGCGTGTGTGGATTACCAGCACACTAATATGCACTAATAGAGAATTAATGGGTATCTCATAATTATCATTTTGGTGGAGCGTGTGTGGTTTACCGGCACATCAATAGTTAATGATAAAGACAATGAGGTTACTAAGCACATTTGCATGGTTATTCACATCTTATTTGTGATCCTCGGTATACCAGTCACAAATAGAAGAGCATAATCCGAGATTAAAACATGCCATTGAATAGTTTCAATGTATCTCAAAAGGAATTAGGAATTTCACTTCGTTTATTTCTTCTAATGGTGGAATTGGTGAATCGTCATTCACCTACCTTTATGAAATTTACACTTGAATCTCGACATCCGATTTCTAAGTTATGAATCTTCATAGTTGGATCCTAACCTTGATATTATATCTTTGGGTTATTATATTGAGGTATCTTGAAATCTAACTAAAACTTTCTTTCTTTTCAGATGTCTACTCCTGGAAACATTTCTGCTTCATCATCCTCCAACCACAACTTCTCTTTGCTCAACATTTGCTCCAAAGTCGTTATGGATGGCTCTAACTATAACGATTGGATGTGTAACATCAAGATGGCGCTTCGTTTTGAGGACAAAGAATATGTCCTTGAAAAGGAGCTCAAAGAAATTGATGAATCTAAAGCTACTCCTGAAGAATATGCTGCCTACAAGAAGCACTATGACGATGCCACCAAAGTGGCATGCATCATGGTCGCAACCATGTCCCCAGAACTGCAGAGGTACTATGAGGACTACTGGCCCTTTGAGATGAACAAGGACCTTATGGAGAAATACCATAAGCGAGCTCGTCAAGAAAAGTTTGAGGTAGTCAAGTCACTCATGGCTTGCAAGATGAAGGAAGGGGAGTCGGTTGTTAGTCATGTGCAAAGAATGCAACGCTACATAGAGCGTTTGGTCAAGCTCAACATTCAATTTGATGAAGAATTGGCCATTGACATGGTTTTGAACTCACTACCCGATTGTTATGGTCAGTTTATCCTAACTTACCATTTGAACAACATTGAGCAGACACTGGACCAATTGCACAACTTGTTGCAGACAGCTGAAGCAGGGATGAAGGGTAAAAGTATAGCCTCCACTCCTGCAAGTGTACCTGTCTTGGCTATTGGACAGGGAAAGGGGAAAAAGAGGAAAGGTCCTCCTAAGCAAAATTGGAAGGGCAATGCCCAAGCTGGGTCATCTAGTAATGGCCCAAAGGCTAAGCCCAATGCTACAATTCCCCATATCTCTGATCCAAAGGATGCTGATTGCTTTTATTGCAATGACAAAGGGAACTGGAAGAGAAACTGCCCAAAATATCTACAAGATATCAAAGATGGCAAAGTGAAGCCATCTTTAGCAGGTATTTACACTATTTCTTCTAATAACTCATTATCTTCTCGTTCATGGGTCCTTGACACAGGATGTGGTTTTCACATCTGTTCTGATTTGTATGGGCTAAAAGAAAGTGAGAAGGTAGAGCGACGGAGGATAAACTTGATCATGGGGAACAAAAAGTCTTCACCAGTAACCAAGATCGGAGTTTATTAACTTTTGCTTAATAATGATGTTAGATTAGATTTATTGAATTGTTGCTATTCGTCTGAGATGACGAGAAACATTATTTCATTTCATGCATTGTTCAGACAAGGTTTTAAGTATTCTTTTAATGATTTGAATGGTTCAATTTCTGTTTATAAGAATGGTGTCTTTGTGTTTGAAGCTTTACCTTGTGATGGTGTGTATGAAACAGTGACTTGTGTTGATAGCTTAGGTAATAGTGTGTTTAATATTGACTTGTCTAATAGTGTAGACAAGGCATGCTTGTGGCATTGTCGTCTTGGACACATTAACAAGAAACGCATAGCCCAACTCCAAAAGGATGGAGTGTTGGAATCATTTGACCTAAAATCAGATGATATGTGTGAATCTTGTCTTTTGGGAAAGATGACGAAATCACCATTCACAGGGTCTTATGAAAAAGGTGAAGGTCTGTTGGACCTCATACATACAGATGTATGTGGGCCCTTCAGATCAACTACAAGGGATGCTAATCGATTCTATGTAACTTCCACTGATGATTATAACAGATATGGCTGTATCTACTTAATCAAACATAAGTCATAAACCTTTGAAAAGTTCAAAGAGTTTAAGCATGAGGTTGAAAATCAATTGGGCATGAAGATAAAGGTACTTAGATCCGATAGAGGCGGAGAGTATCTTAGTATCGAGTTCAACGACTATCTAAAAGAATGTGGGATAGTCTCACAATTAACTCCTCCTAGGACACCACAGTTATATGGTGTAGCTGAGAGGCGTAATCGAACCTTGTTAGACATGGTTCGTTCTATGATGAGTCGTGCTTCGCTTCCTATTCACTTCTGGGGGTTTGCCTTAGAGACAACCGCCCACATCCTCAATCTTGTCCCTACAAAGAAGGTTGCCAAAACACCTCACGAAATGTGGACGGGGAAAGTTCCCTCGTTAGCACATATTAAAGTCTGGGGTTGTGAAGTTTTCGTAAGACGAGAGACTCACGACAAGCTAGCAGCTAGAAGTGAGAAATGTGTTTTCATTGGTTACCCAAAATAGTCTTTTGGATATTTGTTATACAGACCTAGTGAAAACATGGTCTTTGTAGCACGAAGAGGAGTCTTTCTAGAAAAAGAGCTCATATTCAAAGAGGACAGTGGGAGCACCATTGACCTTGAAGAAATTCAAGAGTTAGCCAATGAAGGAACCTTAGATGACACTAGCACTCAACCAGAGGAAACAGTTCCCGTTGAACCAGTTGATAACTCATTACCTCTTCGAAGATCCACTAGGGTGAGTGTGCCACCTGAGTTGTATGGTTTTCATATTACTTCAGATGGTGACACATTCATCAGTGATAGGACGCTGGTAAATTTAGATGAACCAGTTACTTACAAGGAAGCAATGGCAGACCCAGAGGCTTCCAAGTGGAAAGAGGCAATGGACAGCGAGATTAAATCCATGTATGACAACCAAGTTTGGAATTTGGTTGATAGTGCACCGGGTCGTAAGACAGTTGGGTGCAAATGGATCTTCAAGAAGAAGACAGACATGGATGGAAATATGCACACATTCAAGGCTCGACTGGTTGCAAAAGGTTTCACTCAAACCCCAGGGGTTGACTATGATGAGACCTTCTCGCCAGTAGCTAAGATTAAATCTATTAGAATATTGCTCACCATAGCTGCCTTTCATGACTATGAAATCTGGCAAATGGATGTCAGGACTGCCTTCCTTAACGGGAAGTTGGCTGAGGATGTTTACATGAATCAGCCAGAGGGTTTTGTTGATGCAAAGTTTCCCAATAGAGTGTGAAAGCTTGAGAAATCCATTTATGGATTGAAACAAACATCTCGCAGCTGGAATCTTTGCTTCCATGAGAAAGTCAAAGAGTTTGGTTTCTCTAGAAGTGAAGATGAGTTTTGTGTGTATATCAAGGCTAGTGGGAGTATAGTAACTTTTCTGGTATTATATGTCAATGACATATTACTCATTGGTAACGACGTTCCAACCTTGAAAGATGTTAAGTCTTGGCTTGGAAAGTGTTTTGCCATGAAAGACCTTGGAGAAGCTGCCTATATTCTTGGGATTAGCATATTGAGAGATAGAAAGAAGAGACTAATTGGACTTAGTCAGAGCACATACTTGGATAAGGTACTAAAGAGGTTTAGTATGGAAAATTCCAAGAAAGGAGAGCTACCTATCCAGAGAAATACCAAATTAAGTAAGACTCAATGCCCAAGAACAGATGAGGAAATAGCTGACATGAGTCGTGTACCTTATGCTTCCGCTGTCGGATCGATCATGTACGCTATGACGTGTACTCGCCCTGATGTGGCATTTACTTTGAGCATGGTCAGTCGCTATCAGGGAAACCCGGGTAGAGCTCATTGGATAGTGGTTAAGAATATACTCAAGTATTTGCGAAGGACAAATGACTGGGTCCTTGTACTTGGTGGCAAAGATACTTTGAGAATAGATGGTTACAGTGATGCCGACTTTCAAACGGATAGATATAACTTCCGTTCTCAATCAGGCTGGGTATTTTTACTGAATGGAGGAGCAGTTACTTGGAAAAGTTCCAAGCAAGATACAGTGGCTGATTCTACTTGTGAATCAGAGTACATAGCAGCGAGTGAAGCGTCGAAAGAAGCAGCTTGGTTGAGGAACTTCATCGGAGATCTCGGAGTTGTTCCAACCATCCAGGAGCCTATGGAACTGTTCTGCGATAATGAAGGAGCGGTTGCCTTATCAAAGGAACCCAGAGATCATGGTAAAACCAGACATATCGACAGAAAGTACCATTTCATAAGACATAGAGTAGAAGAAGGCCCTCTTGTTGTAAAGAGGGCATCATCTGAGGATAACCCAGCAGATCCCCTCACAAAGGGTCTGAGTAGGGTTAAGCATATTCAACATGCTCGGAGCATTGGACTGAGAGATGATATTAGTTTTAGCAGTTAGATGAGTTTTATTCAAAAACTTGTAACAAAGTAAATGTAATTGACTTTTGGTGATTAAATAATAAAGTATTATTTATGAGTTTTTTTACTGCCTTTTGTCAATTGTTTATTTTTGTGTTTTGTATTTGCATGTTTTACTTCCCGAATAATGTAATTATTCAAACTCCACAGTCGTTCGTACTTTTGGAAGTAAGTAGTGAATTAAGACTACCATGAATTGGATTGCAGATTGTCTAAGGGAGTTAGACATAGCAATAGAATTGCTGCAATGTTCATGAGTACTTAGAAATAGAGATTTGAGTATTGGATAAACCCTCGCTCAAAGTATTACTTCATTGCACTACTAGAAAAACAGCCTTTTACGACGCACAATGCGTGTCGTAAAACGCTCAGACGACGCGCAAATGCGCGTCTAGAAAGGCTCTGTCATAACGAAAGACGACGCACATTTGCGCGTCATCTGTTTACGACGCGCATTTACGATGCGCAGTTATGACGCGCAATGCGTATCAAGGAAGGCCCTGTCATAAAGAAAGACGACACGCATTTGCGTGTCGTAACCTTACGACGCGCGTGTTTATGACACGCAAAGCGTATCAAGGAAGCCCATGTCATAAAGGCAGACGACACGCCATTGCGTGCGTAACGTTACGACGCGCCTTTACGACTCGCAATGCGTATCATTAAATCTACTGTCATAAACGAAGATGATACACATTTGCATGTCATAAATTCCAGCTGCCAGTTACTATACACCTTTACGACGTGCATTTACGAAACACATTTACAACGTGAATACACATAATAAAAGACAAATATATATACCAAAACATTCATTTTCATCTAAACGTCAAACAACATTACATATGCGTCGAATTACCTAAGTTACACTACATGTCAAGTTACCTTAAGTAACATTACTAAAAGTTAGCAAAAACATGTACATGCGTGTCAAAAGACTACCTAGCATTACACCACATGTCAAAAGACCATACCTAGCATTTCACTGTTAACCATAACATTGTTTTGCGGATACATTGTCAAAAGACCATAATCATCGATAAATGAAGCCTGTAACAAACTCTGACCATTCTTCACGTATCTCATCGATATCATCAGTTGTGTACTCAACTTTTCCATCCCCGATCTGTGAAAAAATTTGCATATTGTTTTTATTAATAAAAAATAGCATATTAACATATTCTGCAACAGTAAGTTGCTATATTTAACAAATAAGCATAAAATGTAAATTATTCTTTCTTAATAGAGCATTGTACTTTCAAATGAATGAAAGCACATTTTATTTTTGCATGTAACCTAATATTTCAATTATAATTGTGAGAGTAGGATGCCATAAAATGATCCTTTTTCAATTCCTTTCCTATTAAATTATAGTAATGAAAGTAGAATGCTATATCCTTACATTGTCTTTGACCAACACTTCAATTCCTTCTTCCACTATCTCCTTCATGAACCTTAGCATGTAGCAGCCACATTCGGTAGCTCCGGGCTGAACTGGACGCTACACAATTACATATAAAATGATCATTGAATTGATCCAAAACATAAAGTTAAAACTACAATTTCAATAAGGAATTAAGTGTTGACCGTAACATTAACCCAATTTAGTTTAACCCTTTTGTTGGATCCACTTTGTGTAGCGTACAGAACCATTGCCCTATAAAAAAAATTAACAAATAGGTGTTTATTGTATTCACATCAACTGTTTTGATAATTTATATTACTTACGAATCAACAATTTGCTTCAACTGCATATTGAAATTGCCAGAACTCAAGGAATCAAGATAATAGCAATTATCTGATTCATGTCTAGTACACCCAATAACCAATGTCTTCTACAAAAACCACAAACAAAATTAAGTCAAATAACATAATTGCAGTCATTTTCAAAATAAAATGTCAAAATCAAACCCGGGATTGTAGGGAATAAAGATGATGTCATTGCCCTTTCTTTTAGACAACCGATCTGCTAAACCTCTGCTTGCATCGTCAATATTCTTAGACTTCCCTTTACGCGTACTTGGCGAGATTAATGCCGGGTTCACAAAGCAAATTCCATGATCTCTTTCTGGGGAGCCATACTTCATTTTGTTAAACAACACCCTGTTATCATACAAACACTAAATTCATTAAACAAATTTTGTTTTAAGACACAATGATATTTAAATTAAATTTCTATCACTTACATCATATAAGACACAATAACAGCACCAGTCAGCTCATCCATTGTAAGAACTGCTTCAAAATCATCCCAAGTTAAGTACGTGTAACTATCGTACCCAAAAAGATCGTTCTCACTCTGCACTATTATAGAATCAACCTTTGTAACTTGTCCATCAGCCATCATTGCAGTCATTTTCAAAATACTACTCTTCTCAATCCTTATCCTTGTCTTCATCTGTGCTCTGGTCCATCTTCTTTGCAAGGTCACATTTTGTTTCTCCTTCTTTTTAATCTTCTTTTCTATTCCATTCCCTTCTTCCATATCATCCACTTCTTCCACATCACATGGTTCTTTTTGTTCATCAACCATTTTTCCTGTCCCTTTTTCTTTCTTATTACTTCTTATTTCTTCTTTTAAAGGTGTTGCACCTTCCTTCACTGGTGTTGCATGTTTCTTCACAGGTTTCCCCACCACTTTTCCCTACAAAAATTATCAAAAATATAGAATGAAACAGGAATCATTTACTGAAGCTGAAAAAGAACTCACTCAAATATCAGAAAAAATAAGAAAACCAAGGGCAAATCTGTGAAAACTTTGTATGTTTTAAATCTGTGAAAATTACTAGGTCAGAGCATCGAATAACTAAGTGTCTTGGCCAACTTAGTATGTGTCCCAGTGCATCTTTGACCTTCACAATGAACTCCTCTTCAAGTGGAATGGGTATTAAAGCTTCTCCTTGTAAAAATTGTTTCCATCACAACTTCAATGTTTTCATCTGTTACATAAACGAAAAAAATAATTAAGATCCAATCTTCTAAAAAATGAAAATATATAAATAGTAATAATGCAAATATTTTTCAAAATACCCGATGCACTATACTTCATTATGGTTCCTTTAGCGACTACATTTGCAACAAATTCAACCGCAAGAAGACATGAATTATTCTACCAAAATATAGTATGTTAGTTTGTAGAAAAAGAAAATTTTTTAAATATATTTTTCATAATTGTCTTCAAGGACTTACAAGTGATTCATCCCGTGGTTCTTTTTCAACATCTTCAATGACGCCCCCTACTTGGCAACTTGCGGCTTCAGAAACATTAAGTACACCTCTTTTTAGTTTCTCCAAGTCATCTTCAAGTTTGTTGATTCGTTTATCCACCCTCTCGTTCTCAATCTCCAAGTAATACTTAACATTCTTGGGTAAATAAAAGTATTGCTGTGGCGTTATAAATTTACCCATCCCTCGTACACGCCTACGTTGTTCCTGAGTACCCAAGGCCTCTGTAAGCACATCATGTGTTCCACATGTAACCTCTCCAAAGCTTCCAGATTTCTGCAGCTCATCCTGTAAAAAATTTGGGACAAATGTTAGAAAAAAAATGGGACAAATGTTATTTTTTTATATATATTTGGCATTCAATGAAACTTACAATTTTATCAACAATCATGTTGACATCTGATTCGTATCCTCCTGTCTTCAACTCTCTTGCTTGTTTCCACAACAGTGTCCTATCAATATCCTCTTCCGTCTTGCCGGTTTCTTGCATCTAAATTATCAAGAATAACAAAGTCAATTAACATAAATATATACAAATAAAATAATCAATACTTAGTGGGAATCATACGATGTCATTAATGAGTCTGGCATATCGTTTTCTGCTCAAACGATGATTGTATTTATGATGTGCACGGGTATTTTTTGCTTTTGTACTTTTCTCCTGCATTAGAAACATTAAAATTGTATCTACAAACTTTTAACTTTCCACTTTTTTGTAATTCTATGGGATATAAATGCATATAAGAAAAGTTTAACCAACCTCCCACTTTTTTGTAACTCTATGGGATACAAAAACCTTTCAGTCTTCTTTCTTTATAAACGGATAATCTTTCGGATGTTTGAATAGATTTGCCTTGGGATCTTTACTTCGGTTCTTAATGAACTTGGCATATATATAATGCTTGAAGTTTCTCCACTTCTTCCCGATCGATTGGAGAGTTTGCTTCCGGCTCTTTGGGTCAACTACAAACTTTTCCTGAAACATAAAAAAATGGTTGGTTAAAAAACAGATCTAAACAGGGACAAAAACAAGGACAAAATCAGAAACAGGGACAAAAACAGAAACAGGGACAAAAACAGGTAATAACAAGAAGAAACAGAGACTTACCAAAACATATTGCCATAACCCTTCCCTTACTTCTTCACTAACTTCCAGCCAAGACTCATAGGTTATGGGAACCATTGTTCTTGCAACCAAACCCTCAAAAGTAGACAGTTTTGTGGCTTCCTTTCCAACCGGGACACCTTTTTTATTGTAAGTTATTACAAGTTTCACTTTATTAGCTTTTGCCTTTGTTGTCGGACCTCTTTGTTAGGAGTCTTCATCGTGATCAGAAGCTGAATCCGATTCCATGTCACAAAAACACAACCTGTTTCAACAAGATTCAAATAAAATTAAGTACATTGTTATTTGTTGTAGTTGGAAAAAAATTAATCACATTCAAAATCTGAAATATAAACATACCAAAAACTTTATTATTCTGCAAAAAAATATTTAAACTAATATCCCCTCGCCATCCGGGCGCGTACACAAAAAATCATCATCAAGGTCTAATAAAGCGGAGTCTTGTGTTAAATCAAAAGTAGCATCAAATTCCAACATATCATCTGTTTCACCATTTGATCCATACCTGTACATCCTACGTGGTGTGAATCCAACAACAAGCAAATTCTCATCTTGTTGATCTTGAACATAAAAAACCTGTTTGGCTTGACTAGCTAATACGAAGGGTTCAGACTTCTGACCAAGTCTATCAAAGTTAACTACCGTGAATCCTAAATCTTGCTTTTTTACTCCACGACTATCAACCCAATCACACGAATATAGGAATAGTAATCATGCGATAATCAAGATCCCATATCTCCTTTATACGACCGAAGTAAGTAACAGCACCATACACAGGATTGGAGTCTTTTGCACTAGCAATCTGCATAGTATGTGCAACTAAAGATACTCCACTGCATTGAGTTGTTCTAGACTCATCTCGAGATGTTGTATGAAATTGATACTCATTTATGGAAAAACTGCTATATTTACTAACATCAAAATTAGGCCCTTTGGCCAACCAACGAACATCATCACAAATATCTTCCCCGTTAGCCAAACGTTTTTCAACCTATTAGAAAAATATCTAATTAATGTAATTCAAACAAAATAATTAAAAATAGTGTAATTCTAACAATCTTATTTTAAAAATAAACCTCTTTCTTAAACCAACTAATAAATGTCCGACTATGTTGGCTCTGCAACCATGTACTTTTGCGAGCGTGATGAGGGTTCAGATCCTTCAATTCCAACATATGTTGCCTGAAGTGTATTACAATTTAGAAGAATGTTTTATATGATAGATAATGGTATAAGAGTATACAGTTTCATGTAATTCTTACTCTATATACGGCTCCACAACAATAATGTTTCGTAATACATAAAGATGAGCTTGATCAAGTAACTGAGCATCTACAACATCGATTGTAGCCTTTGATAAAGGCTTGCCGCTGCGGATTCTTTCATCAACACGTTCATGAGGATTGCCAATTGATTTCGTGTTTTTTAAGTAGTCTGAACAAAATTCTAAGGCCTCATCCGCCACATAACACTCTGCAATGCAACCCTCGGGTCGATGATGATTTCTTACATACCCTTTAAGTGTTTTCATGTATCACTCAAATGGATACATCCACCTAAAATGAACCGGGCCACACAACCTCACCTCTCTAACTAAATGCACCATCAAGTGAGTCATGATATCGAAAAATAAAGGAGGAAAGTACTTCTCTAACAAACATAATGTTAATACGATGTCACTTTGCAACTTGCCTAGCTTACTAACATCAACAACTTTACTACACAACTCATTGAAAAAATGACACAGGCTTAGGATTGTTCTCCACACCTTCACATCTAAAACCCCTTTGATTGCAAAAGGAAGAAGTTGTTGCATTAGTACATGACAATCATTAGACTTCAAACCATTCATCTTTGAAACATCATCCGACACAAGATTCTTGAGATTAGAGCAATACCGATGCAGAACTTTTATGTTAGATAGGGTATCATAAAATAGATGTTTCTCTGCGGAATTCAATGTGTACTTGGCAGGCAGAAGCCAATGTCGATCCCCTTTTGGTTGAGGTCGTAATTCAGTCTTAATGCCCAACGCTTCAAGATCTTGTCGTGCTTTTAATCCATCCTTCGACTTGTGAGGCAAATTCAACGCTGTCCCATAAACACTCTCGGTCACATTTTTTTCTATGTGTATGAGATCTAACTGATGGCGAACATGCAACTTCTTCCAATATTCAAGTTAAAAAAAAATCGACTTTTTATGCCAAAATTTAGATCTCTCGTCGATACTTTCTTTTTTCTTCTTTGAATTTTCCTTCTTTGGCGTTTCCCTCTTTGACGCTCCCTTCTTTGACTTTATCCTCTTTAACTTTATCTTCTGTGATCCTACCTTCTTTGACTTTATCTTCTTACCCCATGTAGTCTCAAATCCCGCCAGATAGTCATAAATATCTTCACTTGTTGAGAGAAAAACTTTGAGACACACTTGAACAAACGTTAGAACAAGTATATTGCGGAATAGTTAATCTCGAAGGATCTAAAAGCTCAACAATAATATTTAGAGTTAGATAGTTAGATAGTTAGTTGTGGAAAAGTAAAGAAATGAAAATGACAACAATTGTTATATCAAGTATACACATAAGTTGATTCATAACAAGGAATGCATTCAAGCCAAGTTAATAAGTGAGATCAAACTTAGTGATTAAGTCCTAAGAGACTTGCTCCGAAGAGAGATTGTGATCAGTTGTATTCTAGTAAGATTTGTGAGTAAGAAGAGATGAGTAATTAGATAGAGAGATAGAAAAGATAACTTCAGAGATGTGTATTCATAATTAATCGATCTCCTGAATACAAGAGAATGAGCTCTATTTATAGAGACTCAAGGAGTTACATTAGATTCAATATCTATGAGTAGCCATGCAAGGCATACTGGACAATAGAGAGTATTACAGAAAGACAAATAAACTAAGTAAATTAGAATGACTGCGGTTGGCTTTGATGACTTCGGATGCGGTTGCTGAAGAGGGAGCTTGACTGCAGTAGCTTGTTGGCTGCGGTAGCTGAAGTTCAAGAGGGTCACTTTTCATGATTCAACAATTTCCCCCTAAGTGACCTCTTTAACTTTTGTTCAGCTATCAAGTTTAAGAAACTTGATCAGGATACACCAAAACTTTCTGACGTTTTCCAACCAAGTGATCCTTCTTAAAATCTCGAATTTGACTTCGGCAGTTGTATGCTTTGATCTTTCGACTGCGGTTCGACAGATTTCGAGTTGCTTCCTGGTGAGGCGATTCATTGCAGTCATAGGAATAAAGTATTTGACTTTATCGGTTTTCCTTTTGAAAATGACTCCAAGTTCAGGAAAGTTGGTTGCACCTAAGGATCTTTCTTGATAGCCTTCGGTAGGCATTGGTGCAGGATCGAGTGGTGGTAGATCAAACTTCTTGGCAATGGTGGGGTAGATGTCTGCTTCGATTTTAGCAAAATCACAGACAGTCTCTTTCAAAAACGTACTAGCTCTTTCAAGAGCTATCTTCATCTTCTGGTGTTTCTCCGACTTGTTCTGGAACACCTTTGCTATGAGAAAGACTTCTTCAGGATTCATGCAGGGGAAGTCAGCTTGGGTGCGGACATAGTCGTGTTCCCTTCTAGTGAGAGTGTATTGGATGAAGTCAGCCTTCATGAACTTCCGAGGCTTGTAGTTTTTGACTGCGGATGGTCTGTCGTTAGACCAGATTTTCTCAATGGGAGAGGAATGCTTAGCATAAAAAAGGTTAAGTCTCTCGAATTCCATTGGCAGTCTTTTGTGGTCTGGAAGGCTACGGTCAAACGGCTCAAACACTGTGAAGTATTTAGCATTTGGGGAGATTGGAACATCCCAGTAGCCATCCGAAGGGGTTTCAGCATATGTGAGATATGGCTTGTAGTCATCATCCAACAGTCTGCGGTGAGGATTGATCCATGAGTTTATCAAGGATTCATCCATGATAGTGTCAAAACCGCATTCTCTCCATATAAGTGTTGGGTTTTGAGCATTCTAACACTCCTATGGTGTACATGCAACCCTATAAACCTTGGATCTATGTTTTCTCTATTATACATGCAAATATTAACTATTCCAAGGTTTCATCCTAACTAGCATATTATGAAGCACCTATACTACAAAGTTCTAGTTAGATGACATACCTTTTGATGTAGCTTGATGTCTTCAAGCTTTAAGAGCTTAGCCCCAATAGTGTGGAAGCCTCAAATGGAATCACAAATCACCAAAACACCTTGGAAGAACTTGAGAGAATATGTATGCACACTAAAATCGGCCCACTCTTATTTTCACACACTTGTTCCAATTTTGTGAGCCAATGACCCCTTTATATATTATGGAGGATTAGGGTTACATCCATGTAAACCCTAATACCCATGACCTTTCATTTACATAGGATCCATGGGTTAAAAGCTCCATGGACCATCCATGAAAGCTTAGCCCAACCTAAATGAACTTGGCCCATTCCATATATATAAGAGTCCATATTTAATTAGTTCTTTTTGATCACTTAATTAATTCTAAATTAATTCTTGATCAATACTAATTAAATAATATGATTCCATATTAATATATTAGAACTTATAATATATTAATATAAATCATAAATATACTATTCTCAAAAGACTATCCATATAAATTGTGCCGGTGAAGTGCAACCCAAATGGACCATGCCGGGTCGGGTCAAGTAGATACCAAATATAGTTATGGACTTAGACATTAATCCAACAGTCTCCCACTTGGATAAGTCTAAAACTATTATTGAGTATGACTTCAAAACCTAACTGGCAATCGTAGCTCTTAAAGCCGCTGTCGAACTCTGACCTTGTCAATGACTTGTCCATTAGATAAGGGATCATATATTCCTCCATTCTAGATATCATATGGACTGAGACATGGATTATAATCATTCTCTCTGTCCATTTGTTGTTTCCCGATTTTCGATTTATGATGACTGACTGATTGAACAAATCAAATCAGTCCTGGCTTGGCCAAGCACTCACATGTGTCATCGCTAAATCATCGAGGGGCCCACAGATATCGCTTTTATCTCGAAGGTAAAAGGAATGGATAAACTTCGACTCATATGGCTTGTTCTACTACTTGTTGAATCATACACAAAGGCACGTTTTATAACATCGAGTTACCGAATGTGTTTTCGTGCAATCAATGTACAACCAACTCATAGTAACAACTCATATCTCTAGGTTTGAAGAATATAAGATATTATCGTCTCATGATCACTCGTGATAAAATCCATGAAGTGATTCAAATGAGCGCGGGTTGAATCCAATACTCAGAACTTATGAGCACTCATGAGTGTTGTAGCACCACTTTGTACACCAACTTGGACCTCTACAAGCCAACCCATGACAGTCTTGATTCATATCTACTTCCAACATATGACCGACTGTGGATGGTTTGAATAACTTAGTCATTCAGGAAGAACCTAGTTATTCTGGAAGTCAAAACATGCAAAGTGAAACACAAGAATAAATGAATCAAATATGGTATCAAACCCTATGAATATAAA